AAATCACTTGGACAAAACATCTGATTGGATGATGACTAAAAAACTTAGAGAACTTTAAAATTCATTTCTAAAATTCTACCGACAAACCAGACAACACTCCTGTCTACGACTCAGAATGAGCATCTTTGGCGCGCGACAACTACTTATTACTTGTGAGTAGCAGTTATACGTCAGAAAATACAATTGAACCATCGCCGCTGAACGGTTTTTTACTGAACGTACTCCCAAAAATTGTTTCTTTCTGCCTTCTTTGTCATTCAACCATGAAAATACTTCACAGAATATACAAATACGTTGATGGACCACTCAGAATGCGACTTAAACAGGTCTAACGTAGTGCGCTGGGACCGAAATAGCAGTTATACGGAAAGTTGACAAACACCTTCGCGTTTTTTCCCAAATTTAACAAGACGTCTTAGTAGCCCACAGCACAGCGACCGCAGATAATAAGTAAATAGCTACTTTCAAAACTAAAGTAGAAACCGACAAGGGTTTATTAGAGGGAATAAAAATCTCGCATAAGCTGAACTAGTCTAGCGTAGATTTGCCCTAAATAAGTTCACCAGTGTGGTCGTTATGACGGAAAACCGCACTTTCTTAGGAAATCCTAAGCTTTTACCGCGCTTCCTGCGTAATAATTTTTTGCAAAGCAATTTATGGTTACAAAATTACATATTTACTTAAATATTATTAGTAGGTATTTCATTTTCGAGTTGATGGACCAAGCACAAATGCACATGACTAACCATCGATGGGCAGAATATCGGCGTCAAGCACAACCACGCACACCCACCAAAGATAGACGAGTGAACTGACAACCGTGACATTTATCGCCCTCTTAACGATAGCACACCAGTTTCTGGTGACATATTTAGTAGGCAAAATTGGAAGTGGTGCAGCCATTTATGGACATCCCATGAAAGCAAACGCAGAATCCGATCGCAAACGCCATTCTACATTGAAAAATCAATTAGGGGTGACAAATTCATTTGTGGATGAAAAATCGACGAGATCAATGATCACTAGGTCTTCAAGAGCGTGGAACGGGAAAATCTACCAAAATATTTCAAATCAAACAAAAAACTGGATGCAACCAAACAGCAGGTAGGAGAATAAAGTGACTAAGGCACGCAAAAGCAACAGATAGCGGTGATATTTGACATGTCGCGAGTTACCAATGGAGTCAAAGTTGTACTAGGCTGCGTTAGAGCTACCCACCGATAACCCAAACAGCAAAACCGGTTGGTTAGAAAAGATCTAATTTTAACGAGTTGGTGAGCATAACTAGTTACCACATCGAAAAACAGCTGAGATTACTAAAAAGGACGAGAAGCACGCGGATTGTTTTAGTGTCCACTGTCTGGTTCTGGCTCCCCGTAACGTGCTTTCCATCGCTCGATAAATTCGGCTTTTCTTTTCTCGCGCAGAGCAAAGTAATCCGGGTATTGCAGCTTTTCCACGGGATGCCAAAGGTCCAATAACTAGTACTAAATCAAATAAATGACTGATTTACATAATCAGGGGAGTGGTAATCATGTCGTTCATAGGCAACACCACCGGGAGATGTTGGGTCTAAAAATATAAGCAAAATGATAAAAAAACATACACAGGAATGGGAAAGCAGCTTTATTTTTCTGAAGTTCAGCCCATCCGTCTTCCACGAGCTTTTTTGCCTTGACTGGGTCAGTTACATTTTTGTTCTGATCAAAGCGGGCACGTAACTGGACAGCTTCAAATCTGAACTCAAGACTATTTGCGCATTAAAAACATTGCAAAGCTCACATATCCAGCTTTTTTGCTCTAATGTTATAAAGGGCGGCTTTGTATAGTTGGCATACTCGTTGAGCGTGTGGAACTAACTTGGTGCGCAAGTAGGCGGGAGGCAAAGGCTTTGCCATTATTTATAATGTTAGGTTTCTTAAATGGTCATTATAAACAATGACCAACTAAGTGAAAATTTTAGAAAGGTTTCTCAATTATTTAACAAAAAAATTAACCAGATAAAAAAAGGAAATCAGCTTAAAAATTTATAGGTTTTAGAACCCGTCATTAGCTCTTCAATTTATTGCTCTAATTTGATGCATAGAATGTTCAGAAAAAAACTTAAAATTAAGTTGCAGTCCCAATTCTTTGTAGCAGCATGCCACCATATGCAACTTATTTACAATTTCCTGATGTTATTTAAGCATGTAATTGTTTATGGTAACAGCTTGATCAAAATCGGTGGCAAAGCCCTAAGCATTTGTTGATTTAGGTAGCAGAATAATTTGCAGGAAATGGAGCAATTTTTATGAGTGGCAACGACCAATTCAGATTCAGAAAAAGCAATAGGCACTTATTCGTTTTAGGAACTTTAATAATAATGGCTGACAAACATTAATAAATTGTCAAAATTAAATTGATCAGGCAATTAATTTAAGGATCTTGTGTATTGGCTTTAGTCTAATATACATTTGCTGCTGTTTTGCTTTTGATGAGACTTGCTACTGTGTCTTTCATCTAAAATTTGTCGTTTAAATTGTGTTTCTTGATTATCAACGGCGATTTTACTTTCAGCTTATGGTCTCAGTGCAATGAATCATGCAATCTTGAGCAATCAAAAATTCACAGATCCCTTAAAGAAGCGGTATTCAATAATGTTTGCAGGTTAAATTCATTTTATTAAATCATTGCATGCCATTAGAGGTGGGATGTGAGTAAATCTACTTGAGTCTCTAATGTTTCCCACGACATCCATTAGAGACAGCAACTGACACCCAGAATTTGCACGTAGTTGGCAGACGCATTGGTTTGCGCGTACATGATCTCGGTATTTCGTTTAAAAAGCATAACAAATCTGTAACTATTTGTAAGCAATATTTTTGGAAATAATTTTTTTAATCGGAAAGACTATTACTATTCTGTGATTCGGTTTGTCGACCTTTCTTAAATCATGGAAGCAAGGCATTTTTGCATCTCAGTGACTTTTGTGTGATCAATGGGTGACTTGAGACCTTTTTTGCAGTTTTTCGACACAACCCGTTTATTTGTGGTGCCATCAGATATACACATTGACTGTAATGGACTGTCAGTGGTAGCATTTGTGCGAAGCCTTTCTGCAAAATTATTGATTTAAACGACATCTCCCTGTTCTTGTCGGTCGCGTATGTGCTATATTTTTGTGATTTAAGCAATGTCAAATTTCTGGCCAGCGTAATGGAAATAATGATTTTCTGGAATGTATGAAAATGCAATTTGAGGTCATCAATGTGTTTATCTGTTTTAAACTCGTCGCTACAAATAGCTAAACATTACATTTGTCAAACAACGCTTTTTTTTAAACTGGACTTGTTATCAAAATAATATGCATGGATTTCTCTTATTACTGCATAAAAAGGCGTCAGATTAACCTGTCTCAAACCAGAGTAACTTCTAAAAGCTGTGTTAATGTCGCTACATGAATGACTGAAATAAACTTGAAATTTAAGTGTCCTTTAAGAGAACAGTTCGTATAGGTCAAACCTTTACTGCAGTAACGGCAGAAACGGTATCCGTGAGCAGTTTACATCCTAATTATTTCAACTCGTAAATTGTTTTATAAGAAATCCAAGCCTCCCATGAAATCTGTTCAGCGGTTAATAACGAGCCATACTAAGTCGTAAATTGATGCCTACTTAAATGATAACACTCGAACTATCTTTGTAGCTTAGATTTATTAACCAACTTCAGAGGACAGAACAGTTGTCATGGCCTTGTTCAGTATCCTTAATTTTTAGAGGAAGGGATTTTAGTCATTAGTACAAAAGATGATCACTTATTTCTTGCAGTATCTATAGATTTCTTTCCTTGAGTTAGCCATAAGGGCAACCAGATCATCAAACGTAGGCAGCCTGAAATGACAACGAATGACCTTGTAGCGGGTCCCAGCATGTGGTTTTGAACCACGCCAGGGCTATCGAGTTTGATCTAACCCGATTACGCTTTCCTGATACCCGCGATGACGAAAAAGACTGAAGAGGATGTGGACACAACCGTTTACTCCGGAACTCAACCACGTTGGTGTCGCTTTGTCGTGGGTGGGGTTTGCCCGTGTGTATTGATACCTCAGATATGTGAGTCATAAATGCGCTAACATCGAGACCTAGGTGTGAGGATAATCCAAGATAACTATTAGGGCGAATGAGGAGGGAGTTGAGGATCCGCGTGGTTGGCGACATGCTGCAAAACGGGGACCTCTGTGTCGGAGGCTGGAGTGAACGCGACTCATAACAGCCATTATGGAAAGCACTAATTTGCAAATGAATCGGGCCAGTTTCCCCAAATTTTTGTGAC